ATTGAAGTAAATCAAGTAAACATCACTGACAAATTTGTGAAGATATTTTTAATAACTGTTAATTCGTTGAAACACAAATAATTAGCAGTCGGAGGCTTTGAAATCAGCTCGTCAAAAATTCCAGTCAGTGGAATCTGAGGCATCGAAGAGCTCAGAGTTGTTAAAAGGGAAGCTGGAGGAATATTACTGAAAAGTCGCTGAGCCTGCTAACGACAGATACCCCAGCGTTGCGTGTGGCGTCCTCCCTCTCTTGGGGTGCAGTACTACGATGCCGTTGAGGTCACTCAAACCCCCAGAACTGAGCCTCTACTTCAGTCAATCCTCTTTGGTCCCCTCCATGTGCGCATTAACATAACCTCTCACTTCAAAAAAGTTCCCACAAACTGCATTCGCTTTAAAAATCTCGTTTAAATAAATTGACTGAGCCACAGCAGTCACTCCCTTCTCACAACGATTTTCAGTGAGTTATCACCTTTCCATTATCAGTGATAAAAAACATGTGAAAACTCGTCCTTCATGTCGAGAACTCCAGTGTTTATAATCGCACTAACTAGTTGACTAACAATTCCCTGTGAACAAGACTAACGAATTAATAAAATAGAACAAAAGAAAAATGGGAGATTCGGACTCAGAGGCAATAGCAGGTCCTTCAGGTCCTGTGGATGACGCATGGTCCATGAAAATTCCAGCCTTCACCCGAGTGGACAATCCAAATCGTCTCCTGGAGGAGAGTTCCTTCGCCACTTTATTCCCCAAGTACCAGGAGAAATACTTGAACGAGTGCTGGCCCCTGGTGCAGAAGGCCCTGGAGGAACACGGAATAAAAGCTGAGCTGGACCTCATCGAGGGCAGCATGACAGTTAGGACGACGAGGAAAACCTGGGATCCCTACATAATTATCAAGGCCAGGGACATGATTAAATTGATGTCTCGTAAGGTACCTTTTGAGCAGGCAGTTAGAGTACTCAAGGACGACGTCAGTGCAGACATCATAAAGATCTCGTCTTTCGTCAGGAATAAGGAGAAATTCATCAAGAGAAGACAGAGGCTCATCGGACCCAATGGATGCACCTTGAAGTCCATTGAATTACTCACAGGTTATTTCACTTTTCTCCTTTCCAAGAAAACTATTAAATCAATACGATCGAACGTTCATAATTTTTTAATTTCAGGACAATTAAATTGGTAAAATGAATGTTGATGATTGAAAATTGTAGAAAATATGAATTTCCATCAATTATGACGGGATAATTGAAGTAGATTTAATCTACGAGTTTTGTGGAACCGAAAATTGGAATTTGTTTCGTTCCTTTTTTATATTTTCAATGATTTTTGTCTCCAGGGTGTTACGTAATGGTTCAGGGTCAAACAGTGGCTGCTCTAGGTCCATACAAAGGTCTCCAACAGGTGAGAAGGATTGCAGAGGACACCATGAAGAACATCCATCCGATTTACAACATTAAGGCATTGATGATCAAACGAGAATTAATGAAGGACCCTAAATTGAAAAATGAAAATTGGGAGAGATTCCTCCCCAAGTTCGCCACGAAGAATCTTTCCAAGAGGAAACAACCCAAGGTGAAGAGAGAGAAGAAGCCCTACACACCGTTCCCACCTCCACAGCAGGAGAGTAAGTTGGACAAACAACTGGCCAGTGGTGAATATTTCCTTAACAAGGAGCAGAAGAGGATGAAGCAGAAGAAGGAGCTGGATGCCAGGCACGAGGAGGCGGAGAAGAAGAGGCAGGAGAAGCGGGCAGAGGCATTTGTTCCCCCTGAGGAGGAGAAGAAAGTCGAGAGTAAGGGAAAGAAGAGGAAAGTTGATGTTAATGTTCAGGAAATTAAAGATAAAGTGCAAAAAGGACTCAAGAAGAAGAGAAAGAAGGCGTAAATCCTCTTGTTTAGTAATTAAATTGTTTTGAATAAATTACGTGTCAATATTACCCTATCGACTCGTTATGAAAGAATATATTTCATTTTTTAACATTCCTATTGGATAAAACATCAAAAGTCTCGGAGAACTCTTCAGCAGATGACTTTTATTTCCATTTCAATATTTCAACAATTTGCTGCTTCTTATTTTCTATTTCTCATGGAAAAAATACATTAAATCCTCCTGAATTCCGTCCTTTATGTGCATTACTTGTTTTAATCCCAAATTGTTTATTGTAAAAAAAAACAGTATTACTAGAGCCCAGTAGAGAAGGATTATCTCAGAATATAAGACAGATAGTAAAATTTTTGTAAAACTTTTGCAGTTCTCATTTCACTTCATCAAAATTTTCGATCTTTCTCAGATTCAGAGGTGAATTAATCACCTCATTATCCTTCGCAACTGAAATGTATCACTGAATGATGAGGATGATCTCTTGATGAAGCTCAAAGGTCACTGAGATCCACAGCGTCCACTCGTTCCGTGATCTCATTGTCATTAATAGTTTTTTCTTCTTTTCTATGTACCACTTCCCGGGGAAAATCGAGTTTTGGCCACGAACCCGGCTCTGCTTTCTTCATTTTTATCTCAACTTTGGTCGGCAGCATGCTGACGGAACTGCTTTCAACGTCCACAACCTGGACAGAAAAAAAAGACAAGAATTAAAATACAGACAGTAATAAAATCCGATGTACCTGCATAAGTTAAGTAATGCTTTAAATCTCTCACCCCTCTGAGCTCTAGGTCAAGATTATAGTCTGAATTCTCCTCGGGGAAGAATAAACTCGCAGTGAGCCGGATTGGATTCAATTTGACTGAGGATTTACTCGGATTATATTTCTTGGCAAAAATTGATACCACCACGTGGGAACCTGTCTGGTGCCAATCCATTCTGCACTCAATTCGTTTATCTTCATTCTGGAAGAGAATATTTTATTTATAAAAATAAAATTCATGAGTTTTAAAAAACTATCCCAAATATAGGGAGTCGATAAATACAGACCTTAGCCATCCACACATGAGTGCCTTGAGTGCATCCAGGTTGTGCCAGGAACACGGAGAAATCCGTCGTCCTTTTCTGACAACAAGACCAGAACTTCAGCCCCTCATGGAAGATCGCAACTCCAGGATGATGAACACAGGTTTCAGAATCGGATTCAGGCCCCCTGTAGCTTCCCTTGCACGCCTTATTTTTGCAGCTCTCGCCCACCTGAAACGGTAATTAAAATAATCTCGTTGTACCCCATGATTCATTTCAGAAATAATTATTTCCACCAAATCAATTCCTTATGCAAAAAAAGGTCAGTATTGACTGAATAAATTCGTGATTGTCGACTCAATAAAATAATAATTATATGAACATGATAAATTAATTGTAGTCACGTAAGCAATTAATTAGTGAGGAATGAGAGAAGTTGAATTAATTCATGTATAATTCCTCGACCTGGACTTTTCTGTCGTCCTGGGCAGTGGATTCATTGGCAGTGAGTCCTTTTATTTGTTCTAAGAGTGTTGGCGAGATTGTCGGGGTGATTGTCACTTGGGGCGTGTCAAATGACGGTCTCTTCAACGTCGGCTGGTTATTGACAGGTGGACGGTATTCGATGACTTCGTCGGCCTTGGATTTGTCGACCTTCTGTTTCTCAGGCTCAGGCGGCTTTTCATTCGAGTGAGAGGACTTGGTGCAGCCCTTGATATTGAGAAATTCAGTGAAGTCTGTGCATTTTTTGTTGCAGCATGACCAGCCCTTGTAGGCGTCATGGAACACTGGAGTTCCAGGATGATGAACACAGGCATCTGAATTACATTAATAATTCGTTAAATAATCCCTTCCATTGTTTATTTATACTTAATCGCTGATGAATTAACTGTTGGTGAAGAATCGCCTTTGGATTTCTAATTATATCTCAATTGTTATATTCGATCATTTATTCATGCTCTAGGTTATTAATAATATCTTCAATATTTCAGTAAATTTTAAAAAGAGAACTCACCCTCTTTATTCTCCCTGGGGTTGAACTTTTTTCCACATCCCCGGTTGTAACAATTAACTAAAACATTCTCCGCGGACATCTCAAACTGATCTTATCTCCTTGAAATCAAAGTTGCCACTAATTCTATACAATTGCCCTTGCCCAATCTACTTAACTCTAATTTTGTTTACTTATTTCTGGAAATTTCTGAGGATATTCTAGTAGGTTATGTATCAATTCCTTTCACACGTTTTGCCAGTCACTGGCTCTACCTATCCCCCAGATGTTCAACTACTTCCAAAAAAATAGACTTTTATCTTCCAGTCATGAATTAAACTTGAAATTAATAATCTGCAATTAAATTTTTGCCAAAAATATTTTTCGCCTCTAAACCAATGGCGAGTGATTTTTTAATGACCAAAGAAATGTATTTTCTTGACAAAATTTTATCATTATTATTGTATTAATATTATTATTACGTATTTTTCATGTAGATCCTGTGAATAATCTCTTAAAAAACAATGACAACGTGAATTTAATCAAGGAGGGTGTTACACTTTTAAAAATCTTTGGGGTGCATTTGGATTTTGGCGCCGTCTTGGGGCGAACAGCTGGCAACGTTGCAAACAACACAGGTGCCCATTGGCGAAGGTATTGCCGCGTTCAATAGCTCTTCAGGTCCATCAGTACCCGGCAGAGAGTCTCCAGCGTCGAGTCTGAGAGTCTCTCCCCAAAACGATCACCAAAAATTCGTGATTTTGTACAAAGAAAAAAAAAAACCCCTGCAATTGCCCCCAACCCCCCAATACGTACTGAAGCACGACTTCAATTCGGCCTCAACAATGAAAACCAAATAATACCGGCAAAATCCTCCCGCCAGTCTTCAACCGATTGATCAATCAGCGTCTGCTCCAAAATGCTGAGCACCGGTTGGAGCTCCGATAAACAAACTGAAAAGTGCCAGTGAATAATCGATCAAACAATTCAATCGCCAGTTTAATTGAAGTGAATAGTGAAGTCCAGTGGTTCCGGAGAGTGAATTTCCTTTTTTATCGAGAATTCAAATCGTTCAGCGGACGCTGCGGATTCAACTGCTCCAATCACGGTATGTCAGACTAATTGATTTTTTTAATCGGATAAATTCGGTGTCGACTGATTTTGAGGGGCGAAGTGGGGGTTGGGGGGGGGGGACAGCTTGTGGCCCCGATCGAGTTTTTTTTTTATCGAGGATAATTTATGGATCGAAACGATAGGTCATTTATCGAGGCAGTGATGTGAGCGATTCACAGGTTGGAGCAATCACGCGAGCTCAAGCCCCGCGATAGGTTCGTTGAACTCGATAAGCCCTTTGTGTGTAGGAAACTCATGTACAGTAGGTACTGTACATTCTCTGGATGTTTACCGTTGCAAATGGACAACGAGATATTAATCTTTGATGTTTGATTCGTCTGGGGTGAGACAGTCATGAAAATCCGGGGGTGGCTGCCGGAAAAATTGGACACACCAGACATTTGGAATTTTGGGGGGTAATGGGGGAATATTTAGCTGAATATCAGACAGAGTCATCTGCGTTTTTAATCTTATGGGTCTGGTACGGAGATTTAATGTTAAATGTCATTGAATTTTTAATAGATTGAATTTGCGGAATATTAAAAAAATTCATTGATTCCTTGATGAAGAATTAGACAGGAATTTTATATTCCTTTTTCGGGGTTAAAGGTTAAAAATTTGAAGTTTTTTTGTAGATATAGTTGGCCTGAAATTTCACAATTTCGTGGGGTTGATAATTGGGAATTTCGGGAAAAATCAGGAATGGGGATTTTCGCTTAATATTTTCTTGGAAATTAAGAGGAGAGTATTAAGTTCTGAGGAAAATGTTTTTGAATCTTTTGGGTCCGAATCTCGAGAACTTTCAATGGAAAATTGGAATTCTCACGAGAAAGTCAAGGCAAAAATTCCTTCTTTGAATTTGTCTCGACGTTTAGTAATTGTCTAGTGCATTACTGAAAATTTCGGTCAAAAACTGTTAAAAGTGCGGAGCAGGTCAGTTTCCGAGGGGTTTTATGGCTTGAGAGGGTAGCAGAATCTCCAGGATAACCTTTTTTAAAGATTAGCCTGAGAGTCTGAAAAAACCCATTATCTTCCATATTTATCCTAAAATTTACAAAAACCATGTTAATTATCACAATAAAATAAGGATTCCGACTAAATTTTTCATTGGTACCTGTGGTAGCTCTGGAAATTACAATTACGGTTCACCAATATTTATTCTTGAATCAATTCTCAAGTAGTAATTAGCAGTGAGAGAAAATAGAAGAAATGACTTGTGCTAAATTTGAAAGGAGTGGTTCCGACGCGCATTTCTCGACGGTTTTGAGTTGAAAGGATTTCCAGTTCCTCGAATCCCCGAAATCTCGGCTAAACTGCATAATTATTACGTGATGGAGACAGTTACGGGGGTACAGGTGGGACACCTGGTGGTATTATATCCCGTGGAACAGGTATATCGTATACAAAAATCATGGCGGGGCTTCCAAAAATGGAAAATGAAAGGAAAGGGAATTCGTGCCGCCTCTATTCATCCACGAAAATTGTCCCTTTACCGAAAAAAAACCCCCCAGGATGTACACTAAATTGGGTACAGGGGGAGGGAGGTTTCCCTCGAGGAAAGCTGGTCCACGTGGTGGTGAGTGCGATTCCGGTGTAAATGGTCTTGTTGAGAGAGTAGGGTTTTTGTGATGATGGTGGGGATGGAACGTGGTTAGTTGACTTTCCCGATGTACCTCTGGGCCACAGGAATCGCTGAGTCTCTTGGTCTTTCTCAGGGCGCGGTCAAGACCTCTATCCCGCCCCCTGTGAACCCCCCATTTATGTACACTGCAGACTCACCCCATGAATTATTTTTTTTATTCCCGGAAATTTGAGGGGCGGGTGTGGGGGTGGTGACCACAGGTTAAATTACATTCACCGGTTTTTTTTTAAGTCAACAATTATCACAATTAAATAAACGTGATAATTCACGTCATGACATTTTCGTTTTTAATTCCACAGAAATATTCTAATTTTGGATTCATTTTTTTTAAATAAATAATAATTACTAGCAATAATAATGATTATCATTTATTTCGTTATTTCATTTTTCAATGGAATTATAATTTTTTTTTAATGAATTAAGCAGAAAAAAAAGTAAAAGCAAATCTGACGGGGTGGGCGAGGGTGGGAAGGGGGCGGGGTGGAGAACAAGAAAAATGATAATTTATGGGAAAACGTATTAGATTTTTCGAGGCGTTTTGACTGTAAAAATAGTGAAAATGGTGTAGAGGGTGAGGGGGTGAGAGGGTGAGAGGGGAAAGGGCAAGGGGGCGGGAGGTGAGGAGGGGGGAATGAGTAGAGGGAATTCAAGGTGAACTGGTTGATGGGGAGACGGGCTACCCGATGGTTTCAGACGGCAAAATATTAGGTATACCGGGTACACACAATTTACACTCCTGTAATTTGAGAGGTCTGTTGTTTTTCTCTCTTTTTTATTTTGTTTTTTTTTTTCGAGGATTTCATGCGGAATTCCGATGGGAATTCCTGGATTTCAAGGAGGGGAAATGGATAGGTTGAAGTGGACTCTGGAGATGAGGGTCTGATGGATATCTGGGGTAATGAGGGGTTAGGGGAATTTTTCAAGACTTGGAAAATGTTGTGGAGATAATTTTTTATTTGGAGATTTACGAGCGCTTTTGGAAATTGGCATAGGCGATTTGTTGTGGGGAATGGAAAAATGGTGGAGTTCCTATCGGAATATATTTCCATTTATTTATTTTTATCGTTTGGATCGTTGATCGGGTAGGAGATTGTTATTTGGGGGAATTATTGCGGGGTAAATAGGAGAATGCAGAAAATAATAATTAGGGTGATATTCAATAGGTGAAATGCTGGGTCAATCTTTAATTCATGGTACCTTTGTGATGGGATTTGGGGTGGTAATTAAATTTAATATCACTGTGCGGTGAAGTGGTGGGAGTTGGGGATTGTGGATGCGGTGGATTGCAAGGGGTTGAGATTGATGTATTTATGGGGAGCACATGTGCATAATGTAATAATGGTCGCACTTTGGGGATTGGCCTGCTGAAAATGGTGTGTATACGGGGCATGTTGGGCGACAGCTGCAGATAATACGCTGATCACCGACATGACATTTCCGCAATATCAAACACCCGCATGGTATATAGGGCTTCGATACCACTGGCATCGATACCAGATCCCCAACCAGAAAAAAATATATCTCCTTGATCCCCTCATTCCAATCCCCCCTTTTCAACGCGCTATCGATTAGAAATCGATTATCCGATTGTAACATCCGAGAAAAAAAAAATGTCATTCGTCCTGACCGCAAGCTCCCCCTCAAACTGAAAGAAAAATAGCAAAAAAATTAATGAATAAGAAAATAACTTTAAAACGTCCGGAAAATCGGTACAATCTTCAACTCCGAATGCTTCTTCCCCATCAAATTCGCATGAACTCCCTTCAATTCCTAGAAATCATGTTCTCCAACATCTCGACATGACAATTTCATATTCCTGAGTGATTTTTCATATTCATTCCGAGACACTCCACGAAATCTCCTTAACACGAGACGGACGTGTTTCTTTTTATGTCGAACGACATCTCACTTTAGTCTAATGCTCTTTGAAAGTACAAGAGACAAAGAGGGTGGGTGGGCGGTAAGGGGGACGACAGGGGGGGATAGAGGGGTGGGCGGTTGAAGTGGTCCTCCCATTTCCCGCGTTATAGTGGCCTATGGGAGAAATTGAGATACAACGCCAAATGTATCTACTCTCTTTTGCCCTCGATCCTCCATTTCTCTCTCTTTCACCTTGCCATCGCGGAATTACTCTCGGTTGTTGTCGGTTAAGTTCGGACGGCCTCGGCCGGTCGATAGAGCAAACACGGCCGCGCCCCAACCCCCCGGGGGCTTCATGCCATCTCTTGCCTACTGTTAACTTATTCTCTCCTTCTATCTCATTAAGTATAAATGTCAAAATGGTATTCTCTTTCTGATCGGTCTTATGGTTCTCTTGTTATCGTGTCGGTGTCATTATCAATTTCGCGGGGTGGAGGGAGGGGGGTTCTTGGGGGGTTTTCATTGAATTATTCAATTGGAATTCGGGTTTTCATTAATTTCTTGTTTTTTAAGACGTGATTGTTAATTTAATATACATTTATTTTGGAATTTTAGGGCCACCGATAATTTCCTTGGCAGGGGGGTTGGGGGGGGGGGCTCTGGATTTTAATTTTTGATGTTTCAGGGAAATATTTGGAAAGTTTAGGGGGAAATGAGGGGTTGTGGCGTAATTTTTCTTCGACGAAAGGTAAAAATAAGGGAAAATTGGGTAAATTTGAGATTGGTTATGAAATTTATCGCCCGAGGATTACAGAACTCCTCCGTAATTTTTTCGTGTAGTTTTTGGGTGTCTGTGTGGGCGGTACAGGCACACCCTCTCCTATTTGTTAATCCTCGGAGGACCTGGAGGTTTCGGGAATTGACGTTCGCCGGGTTTTAGCCCTCGTGACGTCATGTCGCAACGTCACTGCAACGAACTGCATACGCAATGCTTACGTCACAGACCTCTCGGGGCTCTGTCTAAACGTCCCCGAGGTGCTCTAAAACTGGCTTGATAGGTTTTTCCAGATCAATAGTTCAATTACGCGGTCAATGGATTTATTCCTTCGTAGGGGCGGATGTTCACGTCAGTCGGGATTATTTTAGGATTTGCGTTGTTTATTCCGATGTTAATCCTGTCAAGCGAAACGATCAGTGAATTAACCACCGCTTCCTCAATTTTAACCCTTTTCTTTTGAGAATTTATTATTTTTCGGGATGAATAGATATTTTTTTTAACTTGTAAATCTCATTCATTCGGGTATTCGTCCAGTTGACTTTTCACATTTATAGATTAATTTGTCGCTTTTTTTTTTTTTTTACTAAAATGCAAATTCTACCCTCTCAAACAAGAAGAATTGTTCTTGAATTAATAAAAATTTTATTGCGAACGTACTTGTGACGAAGTGGAGAATTCATCTTGTTTAGGGCAGAGTTATCTCGGTAAGAGTGATGCTGAGAGAATATCTCAGAACATTTTTCCTCTGGAATGTCCTCTTAAAAAATTCATCTGAAAATTTTCTCTTGAAATCACAACTTCTAACAATCACTGATTCTAATGTTTTTCCCTTGAAACCTCGCAAAAAAAAACGTCAAACTTCTAATAAAACCTTTTTTTATCAGAACAAATAATGTATCATTCGTTTCAAAAGCGAAAATGGCTCCAGAAAATCGGAAAGGATATTAATTAATTAATTGAAACAGAAATCGCCGAAATCGATAAGATCAGGCCTAATTTTCCTGTCAACTGGTGAAATCACGAAATCTAAACGAATAATCGATGGATATCTCCCCTTTGTCTGTTTTTCTGTTAATTTCCAGAGTGACCTACGGTAATTGACCGAAATCACAGCGGCAGGTGAAAAAATCTGAAGGATTTACCTCCACCTCGTGCTGATGAATATGACGTGCACGCAACGCTTGCTGACTCCACGTCAATGCACACGCATTTGCATATCAATACATTTCAAATATCCATTTTACCCTCGATTTGACATAAACGGATGCCAACCCCCTGTCAAAGTGATGTGAGTGCCCTTCGAATATACCATTCACATCGGTTTGATCATTTCGTCGTTTACTGTTCAAATTTTTAACGTCGCTAAATCTTCCAAAAATCTTATTCAAAATTTCGAAAACAAATTTCTCACTCTAAAGCCTAATCTTTTTCCAATCCCCAATTGACAACTGAACACCGGAAACTATATTCCCTGAATTTCTAAAAATACAATCCATTTTACAATTTATATTTTAAATAATGATAATCAGTAATCAATTGATATCATTATGTGACATGTTTTGTTTATTGTATTTTACAATCAGATGGAATATTAATTATCTCAGTTTCGTTTCTATTAAAAACAAAAAGACTCTCTTGAAAAATGATAATTTCCCGAATTGGTGGGGGGTAAATGTTGAATTTCTCAGTTTCCCTAGCGTCATTTAGACAATTTCTTTCTAATAGTCCGTGAAAAAGAAAATCATGACAGCCAAAGCCTAATCTAGTTTTCGTAAGCTTGATGAACCCTTGATTCCCCCCAAATTCCCGAAGTTCGTGCGTCATGTGTCGGATATTAGGGGTCGAAGGGAGAGGAAAGGGGGGGCACGTGGAAGGTGCTAAAGCCATGAGCGCATTTGGTTGATGAGAACTCGGGAAGAGGTTGTGGATGAGGGGGTAAAAGTGGGTGTGGGGTGCCACAAGTTCGTGGATACGTTCCTGGCAGCCGCCCTTGTGGCCGATCAATATAACGGCTGGTGGGGTCGGGCCAGTCCTGGCAAGGGTGGGTTGAGAGGGTGGTGAGGATGGCTGGGGTGACAGAGAGAGGGGAGAGAAGGGTAGAATGAGAGGGTTCTGGGGGGTGATGTTTCTGTTCAGTCCCTCTTGTTGGCGAAGAATGCAAGGGGTTTTCGAGTTGGTGGGAAGAGAGAGATAGCCCAGGACTCCCTGAGGAAGAGGAAAAGAGACCCCGAGAAAGTAGTGATAGGAGGGGGTACATGTGGTGGGGATTTTCACCCTCGAACCCTGACACGCGGTGGGGGTGAGCACACCGTCATGGCGGCGAATGCAATAGCCAGGGAAGCGCCCGGAGAAAACTTGACAGGCAAATAAATTCCGGGGGCTTTTTCACCTGATCATCTCACCATTTTTCTCACCCCCTCCACCCCCACCCCCCTGCCCCACCAACCTCAAATTTTGAGAGTATTGTACGACTTTTTTTAATCAGTATCAAAGTGCACACCGACAAAAGAGTTATCAACAGTGACTTATCTAAATGTGAGTGCCTCAGCGTGAAAAAAAAAAACTAGTAGTGTGAATCCGGTTCCTTGGAGACTAGCTGGACAGATCATAGAAATGCTGGGAATGGTTTAACCAACCGGAGGCACGGGGATAATTCATGTGGTTTATGGGTGAGTTGATAACGGGGAGGAATTTGGGATTTAATTATGGAATTTAGTGGGAGCTGAGATTAGAGGCACTGGTTTTTTTTATTTTCGGGAATTTTGTCGTGGAGATGATGCGGTGGATGCAGATGATCGGTTACCGTCTGATTTTCAGGGGGTTGTGATTTTTTTTTTTTTTCATCCCTCGGTTTATGACGTGATGATTCCGGGTCTCCAGAGGGTGAACCCTTCCCAGATGTCCTTTGTATTAATCCGGGGATTGCGGGTGATACTTAAATTGCCCCACCCGTGGGTCGAGGTCCTCCCGATGAATTTTCTAGTGAATTTTCCGGGTGTTCAACACCACGTGATGATTACCAATAACCACACCCCGCCCGACGGGTGATGCGGGGTTCAGGGTTTCGATTTAATTTTCGTGGGGTTTGACAGCGAATTTTGCAGGGGGGGGGTGGGGTTATTTCAGGGCCAATCGGGTGTAATTAAGAGGGTCGGGGGTAACTCGGTGGTGCCTCTGCACATGGCCTCGTTCTCCGTGGCATGCCGTTTGCAACCTGCAGCACTCGTCAGGTTTACGGGTAAGGTTATAGCCAACTTCCGGTGCGAGGTGAGACTCGTTTTTATTATTTTCGGGGGAGAGATACTCGGCGAAATTGCCGAGCGCGTCGTGAAAAAATACATAATATACAACTTCAATTCTGTTATTTATAAAGGGCATCAAAAAAATATATGTCAATCAAATAGAACATATTAAACTATTAATTGATTAATTATGATAATCGAAATTAAACGAATGTGAAATGTATTAAAAATTTCTTTTTTTTCGGTTTTTTTTTCACTTTTTTTTGGGAGTGCAAATGATGGAAAAATTTATTGTTATTATTACTATTATTATTATTTCCATACTCTGGAAATTCTGAAATGAAAAAAAATTCATGTTGTCATTCAAAAGTGGATAAATTTAGATTGATTGTTGCAATTTCTCCGACAATTCAAGGGAAAATGAAAAATTGTTAATATCGTGTTGCAATGGGGTAGAGAGGGTGTGGGAGGGGGTTGAAAGGGGTTCATGAGGGGTGGAGTAACTCGTTCGAATAACTATGAACACAGCACTACCAATTACCACGGACATGTACAACTTGTCTGAAATACACATGTGGGTGAGCGGTGACATGGACCAATTAGTTGACCCCTCTGATGCCACTTGGGTAAAACTACCTCGGGATTTTTTTTTTTCCTCTCCCCTCTCCAACACTCTGGTTATTCTAGGTATCAATTTCATTGACAGCCTGCGGCCAAATTTCGGGGGTGATGTGTTCAGTTGAAAAATGAATTTTTTTGATTTTTATTTGCCGGGGAATTGGCGCAGGTGATGATTGGAACGGGCGAGAACCAACGGTACGGCGAGGGTAATTGAACATTTTTATTCATTGAATTTTTCCCGGTTTGTATTTTTTTTCTGTCGTCTATCGCCATTTTTTTTTTCGCTGAATAATTTATTCCAGGGTTTATGGGATTCAGCATTTTTTTACATCCCAAACTTCTGGGAGAATCGATGAACATTTTTGAGAGATTTATTTGTCTGTTTTTTATTTATTATCATTTTTTTTATTTTCATTAATTTTATTGTTTATTGGGTGAAATGACGATTCATTGAAATTTTATGAAATTTCATCATTTGAAAAGGAAAATTTTCCACAAAATTAGTCAATCGATCAATGAATGATTATTATTATATATAGGATATAATATTATGTCAATCCATATTATGCAATAATTCTTGAATTATTGCAATTATTTGTTTTTCTAATCAGTTCAGCTGTGGAAAAAAAATTTGGAATATTCCAAGAACTCGCAGAATATTCGCAAAATGATCTCCATGTATGACATTAGATCAATTACATAACCAGTTCAATGCAAACGGCGCAGTTAATCAATTGCCCTTTGCCATGAACTGGCAATTATCAGTCTCACTCTTTCCGCGAAGAGCTAGTGGCAGCAATTGTTAACTTTTGAAGTGCGTTTCGAGTGATTAGTCTTCATTAAACTGTTGAAGGATCGCCTATCCGTCGGCCATTACTCATTCACTTCATCTAATCTAATCTTAATGAGTTTTTATCCTTAATTTCAGTGGCGAAGTGGTAAATTGCGATAAGTCGAGTTTAAAAAATGTCTTAATTACCGTTTTATCTCGAAAATTATCGATTTCAGGTGAAAACGCCAAAGAAATTTTTTGTAGCGAATTACATTTCCGACAAAAAAAGTCCTGCAGTGTTCACTCGTAGAATCAATAGTTTTATGGATTATTCGATATTTATTAAAATATAAAAATTTGAAAACGAAATAATCGGAAGAATTATTATTATATTAATGTTTATTGACTTGTTCATCGAATCCTCGTCGATCCGTCATCCTTGAAATGTAAGAAATTGTTCGATAATCGAGTCAATTGTTGATTTATTGGAATAACTGAGGCCGAAGGATAAAATTGATTGGAAATTATGGAAATTGAAAGCTAAATTAATTATTCAATGTCAGTTATTGAAGTGTACTCAAATCAATGAAGGATTCCATATCGTCTTATTGACTTATTCTCGACGGAATTAATTTCAATTTCAAAGATCCATTCAATTCAATAAATTTCAGAAGGTCAGCTTAGGAATGTCGAATAAATCATGCTAAAAATTCATTTCTATTATCTATAAGTAATTTTTCGTCTGGTCATCACAATTTCATGAGAATTTTCAATAGTTAATTGAATGAGATAACTGAATTATTCAAGTTGAAGTCTTGATTTCGATAATAAAAGCTCGGATTTTCGATTAAAGGATACAATTAAATTCTTAATAAATCGAAATTGGTACTGATTTAAATATGAAAATAGAAAATTCCTTGAATATTCAATACTTGAACCTTTATCTTTACATTTCTCAAATAAACAATCTAAATATAAATAATGTAAAGATAAAGAGTGACTTGCCAATCTATTTAATACGATATTTAGAAAATAATAACTAATGAATTAATGATAAGTAATGATTTCTGTTGATCAGGTACTATGGAAAGAGGGGAATGGGGGGCGGCGGAGGGCTACAAGCCACGGAACTCCGGCGACAGTACCTGGTGCCATCAAAAACCGATGAATACGAGGAATCATCAATAAAGGATAATGGAGATATCGGGGATAATGATGCCTATCAAGGGGCAGCAGTCGGTATTGCATCCGGCCAGCCGACTTGTATTGCTCGAATTAGTGGACGTGACAGACGTAGAACGTCCGATATTAAGGACAATACGTGGTCACAATTACTTGAGGAGAAACTTGAAGACGGAAGGAGACGACGAAGACGACGCGGAAGACGACGGGGGCGGAGTTGTGAGCCAATTAAACTTGAAATCAGTGGTACGATGAGAGAGGGCAAAGGTAATGGCGAGTGGCAGGAGGTGAATGATAATTTTCAAGTTGCTACGGAGAAGACTAGGAGAATTGATAAGGACAGCTCCAAGGGACTTAGACAAATGACGGAAATGGCTGTTGGTACATTGCTACTTGGTGTTGTCCTCCTCGTTACACCAGGTATACACTAATTGCTTGTAATTATTCTGATGGGGGGTACAGAGGATGTGCGTGCGAATTTTCGTTTATACTTTTGTACTTAATCCACCCTTTTCTCAGAGTTGTGTGTGGGAAAATGGAAAAGCCAGCGATTGTTGGAGATGATGCTAAGTATATGCCTGTGCAAACTTCCGTTTTATCACTTCCGTTGGTACTTTATTTTTCTTTTTACTCTTCTACTTTTTTTTTTTCATTGCTGGAATTACCTTGGGCTGAGGAAATTATTAGTCCGGTATGTGGCACATGGGAATTTGCTTGGGACTGGGAAAATAAATGAGGGAAATTACTTTGGAAATTGTAGAAATTCCGGGATTAATAGTTCTTTATATTAATTATTGAGAAATTCTTCGTTATTTCTGTAAAAGTACTCGGCGTTTAATTGATACTGAGGGTAATTAATGGAAGGGCTCGTGGAGAGTCTCGAGTGTAACAGGAAATCCTTAAATAATTTCTTTTCCTCTCTTCTTTTCACTGTTGAGGGAGTTAAAGTGTTTTAAGAAAATGACAAGTTGGATTCCCAAGGGGACGTGAGGTCGAGGATTTTAAGTGTGTCATGAGAATGTCAAGGAAATTCACTGCAGTTATGAGAAAAAAAAAACGGCAAAAATAGTTTTTTCATGAGTAAAAACACTTCTTAAATTTTAATCAGAAGTTATTTTTCACTCAACCTCTTGATCTCGAGAGCTATTTCGTTGAATTGAAACATTGATGTTGATTGAATCCAACATTTTTTAGTCGATGATTTAATGATTTTTTTATGTCTCCAGGTCTTTGTCACCAGGACGCAGTCCACATAACTGCGATACTTGGTGAAAGTGTGGTCTTCAATTGTCACGTTGAGTTTCCTGGTGAGCATCCAGTGCCCTACGTTCTCCAATGGGAGAAGAAGGTAGGCGACACGGTACGATATCGGACGATCAACCTCTCTGCTCTCTATCCGTGAGTTATAAATTTATGGGGTTTCGCTCGTGGCACCCAGACCTGGCTACCACCCGAATGCCCGGAGATTCCATCTTATCACTTGGTCATGAAGTCGACCGAATCGAGAAGAATCGACTCTACTTTATTCCTAACTCCTCCACTCCCAGACTACTTTGCAATCACATCTAGCATCTGCGTGTCTTCAAACTCCCCGCCTCTTTATCGTTTTACAGAATTCACTCCTTTTTTAATTTCGTTCCTCTTCATAAAAATTCAACATTAATTCATTGATAATTCACTCTAAAAATCGTTATCATTCTTGTGCTTTGCACACGCATTTATTGGAAATGCGTGAGATTTAGCTGCAACGTCGTGACGTCGTGGCGGATTCGTTTCGTTTTACGGGTCTTTCCCTTTAAATTTATTACCGTTTGAAATTTTTTGAATTTTCAAAATTCTTCCGCTTTCCCCGCCCCTACGTAAAATTTGCGCAATGATTCGCAGCCTCCATCAGTTTCCGCAATTATTCTCAAATTTACACGATTTTCTAAATTTTTTACATTTTTTTATTGAGTCGTTTTTATTTTTTATTTTTCTTTTATCATTTCTGTGATTATTTATGGAAATAATTACATTGAAATTCAAGTGAACCGTGATAACAAAAATTTCGAAAACTTCTGTAGAGACTAAAAATAAAAATTTTCAATACAAATGAATGAATAATAAACATGAAAATTATGTATCGACCAATTGTTGGATACGAGATTGTACGTGCGCGATCCGCACGCGCATCTATTCGAAATGTTTGAGATTTAGCCGTGACTTCGCGGTGGTGAATCGGCTGTCTTACGGGTCTTACCCTTACGGTCATTCGAGATATTTCGAGAATTGCGAGATCGATTCCCTTTCTCCTCTTTATATTAAAA